CAGCCACTAGAGGCTGTTAATCCAGCCTCTAGTGTCTGTCTCATTGACAGCCGCTAGAGGTGCTTCCGCGCTTCTCACTGTGATTTTCACAGTGAGAAGATGCCAGCGTCCATAGGAAAGCATTGAGAATGCTTTCCTATGAGACTGGCTGAATGCATGCGCTCTTGCCGTGCATGCGCATTCAGCCGATAACGGGGAAAGGAGGAGGAGAGTATCCAGCACCGAGGGAGCCCGGCGCTGGAGAAAGGTAAGATTTTAACCCCTTCCTCTCCATCCAGTCCGGCGGGAGTGGGACCCTGAGGGTGGGGGCACCCTCAGGGCACTATAGTGCCAGGAAAATGAGTATGTTTTCCGGGCACTATAGTGGTCCTTTAATAAACCACAGATGTTCTGTGCTTGGCAGCATTTCTAAAATATGTTCTTGAGACTTGCTTACGAACTGAACCTGGGTTTAGATACATGCAAAGAGAATAACTGCTTTTATTTGTATCAATAAGTATGAATGGAAAATTATAGGGACACTCTGGCACCATATCAACTTCATTTGAATGGTTTCGCTTATTTCCAGGGGCTAAATCTTAGAACCAATAGAAATAAAAACAATATACTGGCGCTAAAACAGAATAAAACACTCTCTAGTCAAAACACTAAAAAAAGCTACTGTAACACCTAGATGCAATCTTTCTTACTTACATCAATACAAATAGAAATACAAAAAAGGAGAAAGGTGTAGCGCTATATACATACATACATTTAATAGGGCTGAACCTAGTCTGTGGCAAAAAACGTCCCGATGAGAATAGTCCGAATACCATATACAGTAAACCTAAAACAGAGGGGAAAAAAATCTCCGATAGTGTAACACTGTAAAACTAAATCGTATAAAGTACCAAAAACAGTAATGCACTCACATTCTCCTGAGCTTAACGCCAAGCTCAGGTATAAACATATGTAGGTCCGTACAGGCGACCTTCCCCTTCTTCTAACCGGGTAGTCTTGTCTAATCGCCTCTAGGAAAAAGCGGAGCCTCTATATCGGCTCTGTCTCTGCACGTTGAATCAAAGTTGGACTCTTTAAAGCAGGAACCAACCAGCCCACAATATCAGCCCACAATATTCTCCATTGGACCCAGCTGAGGAAGCCGTCGGAGTTACGGTGAAACGCGTTCTGGGAAGGAGTGTATGATACCTTTTAATGCCCATTTATTACTTTTTTTATTTATTTTGTAATATTGCATACTATTTTGTGTTTTTATATTATTAAGGGTTTAATATATCCCTTTTTTGTAATAAAATTAACTTTTCGCTGATATTGTGGGCTGGTTGGTTCCTGCTTTAAAGAGTCCAACTTTGATTCAACGTGCAGAGACAGAGCCGATATAGAGGCTCCACTTTTTCCTAGAGGCAATTAGACAAGACTACCCGGTTAGAAGAAGGGGAAGGTCGCCTGTACGGACCTACATATGTTTATTCCTGAGCTTGGAGTTAAGCTCAGGAGAATGTGAGTGCATTACTGTTTTTGGTACTTTATACGATTTAGTTTTACAGTGTTACACTATCGGAGCTTTTTTTTCCTTTGTTTTAGGTTTACTGTATATGGTATTCGGACTATTCTCATCGGGACGTTTTTTGCCACAGACTAGGTTCAGCCCTATTGTATGTATGTATATAGCGCTACACCTTTCTCCTTTTTTCTAAATCTTAGAACCGTTTAACCCCAAAGTCTTCAGTCCGGCGCCCGTCAGATCTGCCGCTGAGCTATCATTACAGTCCGAGACTTCAAACAGGAAGCTTTGAACTGAGTGCTGCTGATAGGCTGAATGTGTCAATATCAGTAGCTCCAATTCATTAACAGGACTGAAAAACATGTCCATCTCCATCTCTGTTTGGTGAATGGGGAGCTGTCAGCGGCACTCTTATCCAAGGATCTATTCTATTTAAACTACTATGGTGCTCAGACGGTCCATTTAATATAAAGATAGGTGTTACAAACTGCCGTTTATAACTGGGATTTTATGTGACAAATTGCCCTGTGTCCTTGGCTTATGGAGAAGCCTAATTGCCAGCCTCCTTCCTCATGATTATGGCCCTGCTGGGTATGGCCCTTTAAGAACAGCATTGGGGCTTATGGATTTTTATTGGACCATGCTGGCCCTTTAAGAACCGTTTGGGGACATATTGTGACTTTTGGGAACAATGCCCCTTTAAGACTATGTCCCCAGACCTTTAAAGTACTTTATTTATGGCTGTTTCCCACTTGCAGGGCCGGACTGGCCCACCGGGATACTGGGAAATTTCCCGGTGGGCCGTAAGGGGAGCTGGCTGTTCTGTCTCTGATCCCCCGCCCTTGCGCGCTAGAAAGAGAACGGGAACGGGAAGAGAAAGGAACTTAGGAACTTTAAAATCGCAAGTTATACTTAGTTAATAGAATTTGATCTCGTTATTGTCAATTTCACTTTCACGATGTTCTCTTCTTCCTTTCTCACCAAAAAAGGGGGGGAAAGAGAGAAAAGAAAAGAGAAGGAA